GCCACCCAACAACAGAATATAGAACACGCCACCCAACAACAGAATACAGAACACGCCACCCAACAACCAAATATAGAACACGCCACCCAACAACAGAATATAGAACAATCCAGCAACAGAATATAGAACAATCCACCCAATAACAGAATATAGAACACAGCACCCAACAACAGAGTATAGAACACGCCACCCAACAACAGAATATAGAACAATCCATCCAACAACAGAATACAGAACAATCCACCCAAAAACAGAATATAGAATACGCCACCCAACAACAGAATACAGAACATGCCACCCAACAACAGAATACAGAACACGCCACCCAACAACCAAATATAGAACAATCCATCCAACAACAGAATATAGAACAATCCATCCAACAACAGAATATAGAACACAGCACCCAACAACCGAATATAGAACACACCACCCAATAACAGCATATAGAACAATCCATCCAAAACAGAATATAGAACACGCCACCCAACAACAGAATATAGAACACGCCACCCAACAACCGAATATAGCACAATCCACCCAACAACAGAATACAGAACAATCCACCCAACAACAGAATATAGAACAATTCACCCACCAACAGAATATAGAACAATCCCCATAATAAGGGGAGATATAACACACCAACAACGGAATATAGAACACTCTAACAACAACAGAATATAGAACATGCCACCTACCAACAGAATATAGAACAATACACACAGCAACAGAATATAGAACATGCCATCCAACAACAGAATGTAGAACATGCCACGAAACAACAGGATATAGAATGCGCCACCCAACAATAGAAGATAGAATCCTCCACCCAACAACAGAAGATAAAACGCTCCACCCAATAACAGAACCCAGAACGCTCCACTCAACAGAAGACAGAACCTGCCACCCAACAACAGAATATAGACCACTCCACCAACAATAGAACATGCCACCCAATAGAATATAGAACAATCCACCCAACAACAGAAGATAGAACACGCCAACCAACAACAGAATATAGAACAATCCACCCAACAGAAGATAGAACATCCCACCCAACAACAGAATATAGAACACACCACCCAACAACAGAATATAGAACACTCCACCAACAAAAGAATATAGAACATGCCACCCAACAGAATATAGAACAATCCACCCAAAAATGGAAGAGAGAACATGCCACCCAACAAAAGAAGACAGAACACTCCATCCAACAACAGAAGACAGAACACGCCACCCAACAACCGAATATAGAACACGTCACCCAACAACAGAATACAGAACACGCCACCCAACAGAATACAGAACAATCCAACCAACAACAGAATATAGAACATGCCACCCAACGAAAGAATATAGAACATGCCACCCAACTACAGAATATAGAGCACGTCACCCAGCAACAGAATATAGAACACTACACCAACAACAGAATGTAGAACACGCCACACAACAGAATATAGAACATGCCACCCGACAACAGAAGATAGAACACTCCATCCGACAACAGAATATAGAACACTCCACCCAACAACAGAACATAGAACACGCCACCCAACAAAGAAAATAGAACATGCCACCCACCAACAGAATACAGAACACACTGCCCACCAACAGAACACAGAACACGACACCCAGCAACCGAATACAGAACACGCCACCCAACAACAGAATATAGAACACACAACCTAACAACAGAATATAGAACACGCCACCCAACAACAGAATACAGAACGTGCCACCAAAAATAGAATATAGAACATTGATCCAACAACGGAATACAGAACACGCCACCCAACAACGGAATATGCAACACTCCACCCAACAACAGAATACAGAACAATCCACCCAACAACAGAATATGGAACACTCCACCAACAACAGAATATAGAACACTCCACCAATAACAGAATATAGAACACGCCACTGAACAACAGAATACAGAACAATGCACCCAACAACAGAATACAGAACACCCCAACAACAGAATACAGAACACCCCAACAACAGAATATAGAACACGCCACCCGAGAACAGAATACAGAATATGCCACCTGATGACAAAATATAGAACATGCCACCTGACAACAGAATATAGAACACGCCACCCGACAACAGAATATAGAACACGCCACCCAACAACTGAATATCAGACACTCCACTCTACAACAGAATATAGGACACGCCATCCAACAACAGAAGATAAAACACTTCACCCAACAGAAGATAGAACACGCCACCCAACAACAGAATATATATTCTTTTACTATCTGTATAGTATATTCTTGCAGACAGACAAATCTCAACATACTTAAAGAGACTGAAATCAAGGTACATTCTCTTGACTTCAACAGAAATTAGAAATCAATAATAAAACGCTATCTAGAACCCCCTACTAAATATTTAAAAATTAGCATACTTCTAAATAATTCACATCAAGAAATTACAAGGGGAAATTGTTCCCTCTGTCACCCAGGCTGGAGTGCAGTGGCGCGATCTCGGATCACTGCAACCTCGCTTCCAGGGTTCAAGTCATTCTCCTGCCTCAGCCTCCCGAGTAGCTGGGATTACAAGCACAAGCCACCACACCCGACTAATTTTTGTATTTTTAGTAGAGATGGGGTTTCGCCATGTTGGCTGGCCTCAAACTCCTGACCTCAAGTGATCCACCACCCACCTCCGCCTCCCAAACTGCTAGGATTACAGGCATGAGCCACTGCGCCCAACCAGAAAATATTTTTAAAGAAACTTTTAAAAAATTCAAAAATTGTGGGAAATGGTT